GTAATCAGAACATAGTAGTATTTATTTATACATTGTTTTGATGTATTTATGTATAGGGGTACCATACAAACTATTTTGAAGGAAATGAATAAACTTAGCATGACAGATATTTTTTATTCGTACAAATGAAATTCTGCAATCTGTGGCTTCATCTTGAAGCTGTTCTTAGGGAACTCTGAGTCATATGTCTATAGACAAAGCAGCATAGCAGGTGGAGCACAAGGGAGGATGACCAAATGGCGGTCATATAGATCCCCATTGGCCCAATTTATTTAGTCTCTTCCTCACATTGGGTGAGGGGAGGCATGGGGGGTTATGAAGAGACTAGCAATCAGCAAAGCTTCCTGCAGATTTCAATTTTAAATAATCAAATCACAAGAAAGGAGCCAGTAACCCTTTCCTTATAATTAAAAAATAAATGAAATATGAATTGCTTGGGTAACATTTAGCTCAACAGATAATGGACAACAATTAGTTCAACAAGCAAATTTGGTTGCTGTTTCGTTGGCTGGATTTTGCATTCGGCCGTTTGTCATTCTGAAGAATGCCCAAATTGCTTAATTTTCAGATGAATACATAGATCATATGAAAAATTATTCCCAAATCTAGAAATTAATATATCAGAGCACACAATGTGTGTGAAATAACCATTAGATGTGTAGAGGACGAAAACATGGAGTACTTTTTTTGTTTAAAGTTACTTTTCGTTACCTCAAAGTTTACATGAGAAATGACTATTGTGAAGAGCACTTTTCTCGTATCTCCTGTGCAGAAGAAGTTGGGTGCTTGAACCTCCTCCATGTGCTAGTTGGAAGATGCTCCCAAAAATAGTGGATAGCCCAGACTCACTATCTTCCAGTCCTGAGTTTGTAAAATTTGGGGTATTTTCCAGACTGATCTCAATATGTTTTCTTTTAGTGCACGAGAGTCGTTGAAGATGTAAGAGACACAGCTTTTAATAAACGTTAAAGATGATAAGCCAGTATTTACCACTTTTGAACATATTCTCCAATCAGGTATTCTAATTCTACTGACTGGATGGAGAAACCATTGTTCACAGCCACACTGCAATTCCACCACTGGTGAAGCTGTGTTGTATCATACATTTTTTAGCCCCCCAAAGATGTGGAAATGTGTGTTTCCTGACGCCCAGGACATGTGGTTGTAGGCGTTAGACAGACAGTTTTTTATTAAGCCTTGTTACATATGGTTACAGTGCGGAGTGGAGGTATACATTTCCACAACAGTGCCAGGTAACCTCATCATGCTTCTGCTCATGATTAAGTCAAAGATTTTTGAATTACAAGGTGATGTTCATGAAAATAAATCTAAATTGCATAGATTTTACACTACTCTTTGTCTTACAAGCCGAAATGTCAAGCTGCTCCTTTCCGGCACAAGCCACATGATGCCATCTGTCATTCATCCTGGCATCATGGATGACAAGAGCCACTCCACCGACAGTCTCTCCCATACTTAGCATGGTGCATGCATGACATCATTTCAGCGACGGTGCCTAATCACGGTTTGGTGTTGCTCTAATGATGCTAATACCTCTCATGACGTATGCATGGTGTATATAGCATGACTGTGTGATGTGCATGACTATGTGTGTATGAGAGTGACTATGTGGAGATGAATGTGTGTATGCAGGGTGATTGTGTGTTTATGGGGGGTCACTGTGCGGGTATTGTAGAATGACTTTGTGTGTATGGAGGGTGGATGTGTTTATTGGAGAGTGACTGTGTGAGTTGGGGTGACTGTGGGGGAGCTGATTGTGGAGGGTGACTGTGGGGTATAAGTGTGTGGGGAGTCTGTGTCTATGTTTCCAGCCTCCCCACACAGTATAATATCTCAAACCTGTGCTGCCTGGACTTCAACCTTTTTTCAATGGGTGTATGGTGCCTTGGCTATTAGTTATCCCATATCATTTTAAACTACCCCTTAGGGTAATGCAATTATATTTACTGTCTTTTTTTATGATTAAATGAACAATCTGGGCATCATAACGACCTAATTTGAATGAAGTTGTTATGGTGCCAGGAGATCTCTGGCGCTGGTTTACTTTTAGGGTTTATACCCCAAAGGGTCTCCTGGCAGCATAAAGGTTCCCTTTAAGGGCAAATAAGGTAAATTAGACAAAAGGCTAATTATTATTACTTTTTATCACACCCTTCAATAAGAGATTTATTCATAAACCTGGAATTTCTGGAGAAATAAGAAGCGACTGACAAAGTAACTGACATGGGAAGCTTGACCTAAAAATGCTGGTTTAAATAATAAAATAGCCAAATTGGAAACTTTGCTCCACTCAGCTATTTATCCAGCTCTGATATTTTGGCCCAAAATCTGGCGCAGCTTATTGAATAAAAATGTTGAAAATAATGTGTTTAATAACATTTACAAGGTTAAGATTTTAATGAACTCTAATAACTAAAGACTATTCTTAAGCCGTTCAGTATGTTAGCAAAATGGGAAGGCCTTTAAGAAAATGCCTGAATACAATGCCAAAATATCCCTCTGTAACTACAAACACATTTTGTTTTGAAATACTGAATTACATAACTATGAGTCAGCTCACTTGGAGGGATTTGTATTTAAGCCTAAATTAGGCCATGGAGAGGGGTAAGTCAATTAAGACACTTAACAGAGTTTTTTTGGGTATCTGCTGTTACAGCTCTCGATATCAATACATTGTACATGGACACTTTGTTTTTAGAATGTCTCCTCTCCAATAACAAAGTACCCAACTAAACCAAATAAAATGTGCATATTAGCTACGATATAGTTCATTTGTAGTTCCTGAATGAGAACAAGCAGGCTTTAGTCATTCTTTACTTAATTATACATATCAATACATGATATTTAGATTTTTTTTAAATTGTATTTGAATTGACTCCTTAGGCACCCAAATCACCTAATTTTATTGAATGCACAATTCAACGTTAATCCAATGGCCCCCTCTTCTGTTCAGCCAGCTGCTTCCGCAATAGCCCAAGCAGCAATGGGCAGCAAAGTAAAGGGAGTTAAAGGAAGACCAAAATACTTTTGTTTGCTTAGGTGATTTCTTTATGTGTATGAAGTCTGTGTCCTCTTTTTTTTCTCGTTTTTTTTCTTATACAAAAAGTGCAGATTGCAATAGAAATTGGCACTTTTATAAATTGACCTTGTTATACAGGTCCTGTTACTTTCCAGTTCGGTAAGCTCAGTGAAGCTAAACTCAAGAGGCACCTGCCATGCAAAGACTTCTCATTGAGTTGCATTGCAAAGTATGTGATTGGACAGTCACAGAAAGTCTGAGCTGGGAAAAAGGGGAGGGCTTGCAAAGGTTGCAGACAAGAGATCTACAGCTTTTGCAAACTGTTTTTAGATATTCTCACAATTAAAAATTAATAATTGAATGAATACATGTTTTTAATTGTGGGTATATCTACTAAACAGTGATTTATTTATATATTTATTTGTATTTGTGTATTGGTATGTCACTTTTGGGTTGCTGTAAGCACCATAACCACTTCATCTTACTGAAGTGGTTATGGCGCAATGCTTCTTTTCCTGCTGCCTTTCTTTCTTTCTTTCTTTTTTTTTGTTGTAAGCACATACAACATGCATAGCATACTAACCACAGATGTAATTTAATTGTCAATCAGATGCTAGTTTTTATCTCCTGGTTTGTAAATTGAACTTTAATCACACACAAGAAGCTTCTGTAAGGTTTATCAAGCTAATAACAGTGCAAGAGATACGAAATTCTAAATTAAACATTATGTGCAATAAAGGAAGTGTAAACACCTGATTTTACAGGAAGTGTTTATGAAGGCTGTGCAAGTCACATGCAGGGAAGAGTGATTTAGAGGGAAACTATAGTGTCAGGAAAACAAACTTGTTTTCCTGTCACTATAGCTTCCACTCTGTCAAGGTCCCCCACCCCCGTGGTGCAGAAGGTGTAATAATCCCTTCTGTCACTTACCTGGGTCCAGCACCGATGTCCCTCAGCGCTGGCTCAGCTCCACCCATGCTGCTCCCCTGTAGACATCAGCCGGTGGGGGACACCTAATGCGCATGCGCGGTAATGACCATGTTCCCATTAGGATTTCCCCAAAGGAAAGCATTATTCAATGCTTTCCTATGGTGATTCAAGTGATCCTGGAAGTCCTCACGCATAGCATGAGGACGTCCAGCGTCGTTTAGGAGACCAAAAGTAGACTATCACTAGAGGCCACTAGTAGACAGCCACTAGAGGAGGAGTTCATCCTAGCAAGTAATTATTGCAGTTTATAAAAACTGCAATAATTACATGCTCAGGGTTAAGGGTGATAGGAGTTTGCACCCAGACCACTTCTATGAGCTGGGTGCTTACAGTGTCCCTTTACTCCTAAATGGCAGAGAATTGAGTAGTGGGACTTCAGGGGCATGATATATACACCAAAACAGTTTAATTAAGCTAGAGTTGTTTTGGTGACTATAATGTCCCTTTAAATCTCTAACTCTGATATCAGAAAAAAAAAAAAAACATTCAATGGTTCTGTTTTTTTATCTCTCCCCTTCCTTAGTGCAGGGGTCAGAGGTAACAAAATCATAAGCTACTCTGTTGGCAACAAATGTCCTATCAAACTGAGTACATGATGCTGCCATGATTAGCCAGGAAATAGCAAGTTTTATTTTAATGGATACACAAATTATAATATTATAATTCAGCCGAACTATTTTTTTTGCCAAAAATGAAATTACGTTTTGAACTTCTGACACTCCGTGAAAAATATTTGGGAATACGATTCAGATAAACCAAAAAGAGTGCAGAAATGGACCAATCAGTGGACTGCAAAATATATACATAATATAATATGATGCAATATTGCATTTTTAATATGTGTTTATGTAAAGTATTTTATGAGATTTGTATTACATGGAAATTCGATTTAAATCGGTTGATTTGGCCTACATTTAGTACATTAGTCTTCAGTGCTCTAGATTGAGCCATGTTCTCGAACCCAGTCCTCATGGATCACCAACAGTCCAGGTTTTGTCAGTTTTTCTATTGGAAGAAAACAGGGAAATACATAAATCCTGGACTGTTGGTGGTCCATGAGGGCATGTTTGGAGAACACTGCTCTAGAACAGAGGTTCCCAACCCAGTCCTCAAGTACTCCCTTGTGGTCAAGGATTTAGGGATTACCCTGTTGTGTCTAAAATGTTTTTTTCATTTTTAAAAAAAAACAAAAAAACACCTCGGACACAATTGAGTACTGGAGGACTGGGTTGGGAACTACTGCTATAGAACAATCTATTTAGTGAACCCACTCCTATGGTTTGGAGCTATTCTGGTTCAGTGAAAACTATTCAGCATAAAACAATTTGCTCTGGTCGATTCGGAATTCATCCATGTGCTATGTAGGTAAACAAATTTCACCCATGCAATTACTTTCAGGAGAACTGAAATGGGCCAATCAGTGTGCTGCAAAATATACACTGTACATATTCTAAATATTCTGTATATGTTTTGCAGTACATTGATAGGCACATTTTCCTACCATTTAGTTTATGGATTAAGTGAGAAGTAACCAACAGAAGGAAAAAAAGTGGGAGCTGTAGAAAAAATCTATAATTATACATCATACATTTAATACATCTATAATTATACATCATACATTTAATAAGTCTATACTACGTAAATATAGATTTGTTTTTACTGCTCCACCTTGTCTCTCTATTTCTATTGGTCGCTTGTCACTTGATCTGTGAATAAAATCGACATTTAGAGGCTGTCCCCTAACCATTAAATATCTGTTTGTAACAACAGACAAAACTCTGAATCACGACACAAACAAAACTGTTCACCCACTGTCCATTTCATTTGGTTCGTGATTCATCCATGTAGTGTTTTAAGTTGCAGAATTTGGAAGAACTGCTGATTGCCTGAAATTCGGACAAATTCAAATTTGTTTGAAACCGAAAGTGCAAGCCTATTGGACATGAAGTCCTGATAAACCGGAGAACTCAAGCTACTTGTGCACAAATTCTTGTTTTGTAACATTGGTGAACAAATGATGAGTAAACGAAAACAGGTTGAGGAGGCCTATATCCAATATAACAGAAGGCAAAAGTGGTTTTCATTTTCTCTCTAATCCAGATTTCCAGGAATTGGATTCATCTGTCATTTGTGCAAAGTTAGTTCCAGACACAAAGGTTAAATCATGAAAATAGTCTTTGAAGAAGCATTAACAGCCCGTAAAATAAGGAAAACAATGGATTCCCTGATCTCATATCCTTCTAAAAACCTGTGCAAATTTTTATTCCGGATGTATGAAATATACATCCTGGTGGTCAATCAACACAAAGACACAGTTGCTGGAACATTGTTTGGCATGTAATAATGTATATGTGTGTGGCTGCGAGAGATATTATTGATACACTTTTTGCAGAATATGTCCAGCAGAGGTTTATGTAGTTCAGTAATGAGCAGCAGTTTCACTCATCAAATCTGATGAATGAAACTGCTAAAGAAAGCTAATAGCAAACACGCATGCAGCCATGCAGCATGTGCGTGTTATACAAATGTCTCTACCTACTGAATGTCTGGGGAAATGGGTAGTGTTCTAGGTATAATGGTTTTGAAATTTGTTGAGATTATAAGCAACTGTGTATAAGGGGTCAGGGGTCAGGGGCCAGGAGCACTTAACATTATAACCTATACCAAGGGTAGACAGCCTTTGGCACGCTATATGTTAAGTGGCATGACCACCCTTTAAAATAAAAAAAATGAAAAAAATCACATCCATTCCAGTACAGAGACCAAGCTCTCCCTGCACTCCAATGCTCCTTCACTGCAGGTATGGGAATGCCATAGAGGCAGAGCTGCCTCAGAATGGGGACCATACCACCACTGGACATGCTATCTGTGCTGGTGATAGACATTTTTATGTCCAGCTTTAACTTAAGCCAGCCCGGACCTATCATTCTGTGCTGGCTGATGATATCTTCGAGATGGACTTATATCTCCACCAGCAAGAACTGCTACCTAGCCTGATGAGATAGCTCAGTAGACTAAATCATCATCACTAGAATCTGTTCAAGCCTTGTGTTACAGCTTCAAATCCTAGCAGCGTACCTGAAAACAAGTAATCTGAATGTAATTTTTCTGGTTAAATACTTTGTTATTTATGTGCATCATTTCATACTGTAGTATTCATAGTAGCATATACAGGCCTCTTAAACAATACATTTTAAAACACTGAAGTGGACATGATACTTGGAATATCTCTTTAAATATCAATCCTAAATTGATTTATTTTATTGGTCTATTTTTTTACTTTATATTTTATCATATTCCTAAATTGATTACACTGTTTGATTTTAACTAATTATATTCTTTGCTTTCTATGTGGTTAATAAACAGCTGGAGAACCATCATTGGACACCCAAGCTTTATACAGTTACAAGTCACTAGATTCATAACAGCGCTTAATTAGAAATAATAAGTGAACTGTGGAGATTACATAGTGATCCTGATAATATTACCGGTCTGCACTGGGCTCATTTGTAACTCTGAAAGTTACATTTGTATCCTTCTAAAGCTCATATTGCAGCATTGACATATTTTCACTTAATCTCCCGGAAAGGCATGTTTTCGAAAACCAGGCAAAATCATTATTTATGTTCATGTCAAGTTGTTCAGTAACAGATCCAACGAAGACAATATTTCTTGCGAAAACACATATTTTACAAAGAAATAAACCTTACTTGGTTGTAGAACACGTCCAAGATTAAAATGAACTTTGTTTTTATCCAATTGCTTTGTAATTATTAAGAGAAATAAAACAAATGTACCATATAAAGGCAGTTATTATTGGCATTTTCTTTGCATGCTTTGGAAGAACTTACTAATGAACTTCTCATGCACTTAGTAAAGTACCCTATTAATTGCCAAAATTAGACTATTGAATAAAC